TGAGGAATCGTTCCCAAGTTCCCCCATGGCTCCTTCTCAAGCCCTCGAACGCGCCTCCAGGTTTTCAGGACTCTTAGAGGAGATCATTAGTCGGCGAGATAATCGTTACACAACGCGCGCACTCTTTGATCTGTACTACAGGTGCAGGTTCCACAAAGCAAGCACTAGAACTGGTGATCCACAGTGTATCATGTTGCATGAAGATCTTTTCAACCAACCGGCAAGTTGTTGACCTGGACTAGAAATAATTGACCGACAGAGTCCGGATCACAGCCATACTTAATTGTGGCCGACACTTGCCACATTTCTCGGTCTGAAGGTGGCATTCTGCTCTATCGACAGTGAGGCGGTGTGGCCGTGTCTGAATCTGAAAGGAGTACAAAGCTATTGTACACCGCTGATCAAACCCCTATATTCGAACTAACGTAGTCACGTAAGAGCTCATTGATTTGTCATCGGAAATGATGACAACTAGTGGTATTCACCAGGGATGTCCACACCGAGCGTTGCCATTTCTCTCCGTCGTACACGAACTGATGGACATAACTTTAAGTGCATCTAGCCTCACGGAGATTGATCTGCCTCTGAAAGCCATCTAGTTGACCTCTAGTGTGCGAATGATATTATCCTGCTAGGTGAAGATGCTGACGAAACGCAGGGCCTAGCAAACACGTTGAGCAGAAATCCAGGAATACTAGTCGTGCTTTTCACACCTGCCAAAGGCAAGATGATGCTATAGGACTGGCCTGCTTTAAGTACCCCCAGTTTAGTGATCTGGAGTGAAGCGGTAGAATGTGTCTACCAATCAGCCTACTTGAAGAGTTGCATCGGCCTGAGTGGCTGACGAAATCTTAGCTGGCACACGAAAGGCCCATTCAGTATTTGCCAACTAGCATCATCTGCGACGCTGACTGGTGAGTTGTCTATCGAAGGGCGAGCACTGCTCTGCAGATCATTTTTTCCCATTGTAAGGGAATGAGACACCGTCGCTGAAAGTAAAAGATATACACTGGTCACGAGGTTTTGATCTCTGTAGCATTGATGGCGCATGCTGGAATCGTTGTGTGCGCAATGTTGGGGTAAGGCAAAAGGCACTGAGAAAGAAAAATAGGGCAGCTGATGAGGTTGTGAACTGTATCCCACCGAAATAGCTTGGGGATGCACCTCACCTGCCCGGCTAGCCGACGCTCAAGTGGACGTGCCTCGCTACAGGAAGTTGGATTTGATCGGAAGAAAATTCATGGGGTCCAGGCGAGGACGTCGTGCCAATGCGCAGAGTCCGTTGATGTAGCTCTGAACCGCGTGCAAAGGTGCAGACTGTGAATTTGGGGTCGCCGAGACGAAAGGAAGCGGTGGTTGCGTACTCTGAGTGAAATGTTTGAAAGCCGGTCAGAATGACGCAGATGTATTGGAACCCGATGCTTGGATATTGACACTAACAGTTGTCTCCAGATTGTTTATTTTCTCAAACAAATTTCGCGCCACTTTTTTGTATTCGCCTCTTCTCTGCATACTACTATGAATTGCCGGAACTTCTGAGCCACACATTTTTAAAAGGGAACACAACCGCACCCTCACTTAACTGAAAAACAACTGTAAACTGCTCAACTGGGCGTAATGATTTGCTGCAGAACTTGAAACCTTACGTTTGACTTGGTTCCTACAATCAAAATGGAGAAAAGGATCGATATCTGAGACTTGGTTTCATCAAAATCGACCAGCTGCTTGCTGCACTGCCAAGAATATCGTAGCCTCCATTTTTATCCAAGCGAAAAATCAACTTACCAGAAATATTACCTGGGGCGAGCTATTAGGAACTGTCGAAAAAAGCATTCAGAGGCTTCGCTTCAAACGTCTTCCCATTTTCCAAACAGTTTCAGAATAAGCTCATCTGTTAGCTAACTTCCTTCATTTGATCTTATATGAGGGCTTTTCTACAGTAAACAGATTATATTTCCTGGATGACAATAATGGCAACCCAAATCTAAAGGCATGACGAAAACATAGGAGACCAACTTGCCTAATGACTCTCGAGGTAAAACTCTGTGCAACAATCCTACACCAGGGGCTTCCTTTCACCTCGCTTCGCGTGGCTCCACCTACTGGAAGACATTAAACAGTGAATATACTTCTCTTACAATACTGTGCATTTGAAAGCGAGACATACTTCAATTTTATGCAGAAACCATCTCCATTTGAACGGCTAGCCCCCATCGTCATCATCACTATCAAAACAGGATCAGGCATTGCTACTCGACGGCCTGAGTTGTCACACCTCATATCAGTACATCAAGTAAGGGGGCAGTGAGGCGCAAGATAAAGATTAGAGAATGCAGTCAAAAGAAATATAAAGTATGAAAAGGGAGAAAGGAAGAATGAGAAAATAGTGAGATTCGGTAGAGCATCGTTAAGGTGAGGACAATGTGTGTATACATTCGCGCCACTGACATCGGTTTTAAGCCGTATCACCTAGAGTCTCCAACCACTGGTTCCTCTTGTCCCGCCGACCCCAACTACCCAGTCTCCATCCCTCCACATGGCTCGGACCAACAGTCAAACGCCTCATACATTGATGCTATGTTTTGTTCTGGCTACCCTGGAAGCCTGGACCCGCTTCGGCCGACATTGTTTGACGAGGCGACCAGGCATAGGTAACACGTGTCCCAACCATCTCAGTCGATGAAGGTTCATAACCTTGTCAACAGATTGACTTATCCCCCTAAAAACTCTACATCTGACTTCTGCGCTACCCACGTGGTGACACCACGAAATACGGCCTAAACTATGAAGGCAAGGGTGGTCAAGCACCTGAAGCCTTCTCATGTCTTCCACCTTCAATGACCATGTTACACAGCCATACAGTAAAACAGAGCGGACTGCTGTGCAGTACACACGACCCTTAGTAGACTGCCATATATCACGGCAGCGCGATAAGTGGCGCAAGTCGGCAAAAGCCAGACGAGCCTTTCGTATGCGTGCAGAGATTTTATCGGTCCCTGAGTCATCAAGGCTGATCCTACTTCCCAGGTGAGTGAGCCGTTCCCTTGCCTTCTGGTTTTCTCTGCAGTTACCACTGTTCATAGTGAAATAAAAATATACTATCGAAAAACTGTGGCCCCCAAAGAAGGAGAGATGACTGAACTTACGCGTGTTCGCATGAATTACGTGGCTAACTGTTGGTCCTCAAAACTATAAAAATGAGTTTCCTTTGGTCAGTGAAGCTATGAACACAAGATTTCACGCTGATTTGGACGTTTATCTGGCGATACATAGAACTATGGAGAAGGGTCAGAAATATCAGTTATTTCTAACGCATTCATAGGATGTTGCACATTCTTGATACGAGCTGTGGGGAGTAAGAAAAATAAGTGAAAATGGTCTAACTCACAAACGTTGTCTATGTACGAAGAGTGATATGTCCCCGTTCGCCCCACAGTTTGAGAACGCTATTGGTGCTGTGATAACCCTTGATGACCCACCTTCTTCACCACCAAGGGCCGCTCAGAAGTTGTCATTTTCCTAACTGGCATCAGTTTGACAAAGTCTGTGGACTGGTTTCCATCATGTAAAATTCATAAATTAGAATAAAATCATTTGTTGAATAATAGATCTATGCGTCAAACTCAGTTTCTAGTGACCTGAAAAGATTTTGCGATCAGCTGTCTATCCAAGGCAGGTGACGGGTTGCTGGTGTCTATCTGTATTCCCTTTAGCCTAACCAGTGTAATTGTTGAGGTATTCGAGAAGGTAATGAGGGGCAGAATGTTAATTTGTGTTGAAACGCATGATCTTGTCACGTATCTACAGCATCGATCTGGGGTCAATCCTTCCTGCTTAGCTAACTTCAACGTCACAGAGGAGTGAGTAACAGCACCTGACAACTTACAGTTCGTAGGGGCTGCTTCTGTTGAATTTAAAAGGATTTGGATAAATCCTCGACTGCTGGGTTGGTAGAGAAACTTTCGTGCTTGAATTATAGAATTTCTATGCAACAGGAAATCGAGCACGAGAGTGTGTTAGACATTACCCGTAGACCTGCAAGGAGTAAAGTTACTCAAAGAACGATTTTCAATACTCTCCTCTTTTATTGCTTTTTGATCAGCTTTTAGATTTTGACAGATCTCTTCTATTATCACTTGCTGACGATGTGAAAGTGTGCAAGATGGCATCATTAGCGAAGCGAGACGAACCAGTAGATTAGTCTAAGTGAGGTTTCTCAGAGGTCGGATCTAGGAAATTCACGTTCCTGAATATTATCAAAGGAATTTTCTGGCATTAAACAATAGACGAGACGTCAGTACATGACTTGAAACGTCTACAAACTCTGACGAAGACGCAAAGAAAGGATTCCGGGTACTTTGTTTTGTTTGAACAGTTCCAAATGCCGTGACGAAGACATGTTTTTAATATTGTACAGCACGTCTGCTTGACCACACCTAGAATACACTCGCTAAGCCACCAGTTGTTGCTTCTTGTTGAGTGCTGAGGTATTAAGGAGCATTCAAGGAATCGACAATAAGTCGGTGATGGTTCATTATGACCCATCATACAAAAAACGACCAACGAAACTCTATTACCATTATTTTATCAGAGAGGAAGAGACGACGCAATAATGGCGTTCCAAATGTACAAGAAAGACCTTAAGACTGAAATGTCTTGCTTTTTCTTTCTATTATACACCAGTTATCACTGAGGGCACTTCAGTCTGACCGACTACTTCCCCACAAAGGTGTTCAGACAGTAGCATATTTTCCGGTGAATGCATTGAAACGGAAAATAGATCCTATTAGAGAAATTAGCTGCTTGCATTTGTACTGTTAAAATAGCTTACTACCAATTTTACTGAAGACTAAAAAGTAATAAGGATTTGTAAAGAAAAACCCTGACTGTCCGGTAGAACACTTACGACCTAAATTACACTCTGATTATGCGAACACTGGGAACATCTTAAAATGGCACTTCACTACTTTCTCCACATTAAGTGTGATGCATAAAAGTAACTAAATACTAGCGCGGCACATAAACTAGTGGTTTACCGTTCGGAATGAACTTTTGGTAATACGTTTCTTTCGGTCGTAACTGTGAAGTGTCAAACGTTTGTGTGTTGAAGCCTGGAATAATTTTTTTTCTCAGCATATGACGGAATTTATACACTTTTTATGATTATATGGTGTCCATGTTCATGTGAGTATTGTCTTCTTGTATTGTGCACTATGAACTTTATCGTAGCAATAGCCGTCATAAATAGCGTTAAGCTGAATAGATATCCGGCTTTGGGGATTCATAAGTCCTTTGGTGTCTTCAAAAACTACATGAATTGGCTTTTTGACCAAGATTTTGTGGTCTCAAAAACTATCTACTTAACTCAACTAAAAATTATTCGAACATACCAAAATTAGATGGGCAGTTGATGTCGTTTTTCATATGCTCAGACCAACGTAACTGCTTCTTAAAATCGTATCAGCGGACTTTTGTGTGGCTGCAGCATCAATCTTACCAACAGAGTTTTATTGTAGTTTCGCACTCGCGTCGTGTAGAGGATCTGTTCTTTTTGTTCCGTTATACTCTTCCAATGACCTCAAAAATCTTTTCAGTTTGTCATCTCATAGCTTTGGAGGTGGCTCACAGTTATGGATGTAGCTTGTGATCTCGTTTTGATAATGAGAATGAATCGCTAGTGGGTGGGGAATCTAGGACTTTCATTGTATCTTTCCTAGAACTGATCGTCTGGATGTACCTGTATTCCGATGAGTGATGGTGTTTTTACTGGGACTCAAACCCGGCACCCATCGCTTTCAACTCCAGACTGTTATTCACTAGACCATTGGGTCACATGAACCTCATCTTGTACAACAGTTATGTTTTGCCATTTTGAGTTGCAAGTTTTTGGATGAAATGTGATAGCTTGATTATTGTCCAGTTCGTTAAGTCAACCCTAGGCATTTACTCGGCCTTATTATTTTAAAGAAGAAAAGCTGTATGTAGTATTTCTAATTTTTCTAGTGTTCACCAACTTTATAGAGAATATTTCCATGTAGTTTAACAATCCTCTGTCTGTTCTGGACTTCTGCTTATCAGGGTAGGAGTGTGGCTGCTTACTACTAATTTGAACCCTTAATGCCAAAATCCCATTCGAAAATTGCTTCATGCAAACCATTTGTCTGTAAAAACTTCGTGTGACTATGTGCAGAAAAGCAAATAGTGCACATATTGAGACCGGTATTTCATTCTTCGTCCTTTAAACTCTAAGGTGCTGTCGCTGCTTGCAAGCGTAAGATAACAGCTGATTTTTTGTCCTTTCCTCACACTAGCGCCTAGTTAATCCGAATCCCATTTTTCAGAATAATTTGTTGTTTTCATGCTTACTATCTGCCTTTTATTTACCCGTTTGACGTCTGACATTGTCTAACCTCAGTTAATGAATGCTCTAGTCACCTCAGCGCATACACATTGTAATTTCTCGCTTACCTTACTCGCGTTTTCATATGACCTCTGCCGAGATATTTCGCACCTACTACTAGAGACATTTTGGTACCACGACCCGAAATCAACCACAATAGAGCAAATGCATACTCCTTTTGTAACTTTTGAAATTCATTAGTTTTCATCTGTATGTTCTCTCTTCTCATGCACATTTGGTTACTCTGGTGTCACTTTTTTCTATCCTTTTCTTCTGTGTGCGACTGTGATATATGGCAACTTGCACTGACTTAGTTTTGTATCAGATTCGACGTTGATCTGCTTGTTTCTTAATAAGATCGATGACTGTATAAGTAATTTTTTATTTGGAATATCTCACTAACCATATCCGAAAATTACTTCATTTTCATTAGGTATTCAAAACTGAAAAATTACCTCCTTTCTCCTATCCAGCTCACTTAAAAAATTGCCCATCCTCTATATATTCAGACTTCAGTTTTCATCTTGAAGGTTGAAAATTTTAACCAAAGTTCTTTAAGTCACTAGAAGTCCATGAGGAATGGGTATTGCTATTTTCAATTAGAGAATCTAGGCAGTGTGCACATGCATTGCTGTAGACTCAACTATGCTGCACCATCTGATTCTTAAAAAAAATTTGTTTTCATAGATTGACTTTTCCTCTTCGTTTCTGATTGTTATGCTTTCAGGCCGTCCATCTTCCGTAGTATTAGATGGCTTTCTAAATCGCTGAGTTTGTGAATTTGGTCATGTTTATTTCTTTTCATCTATAACACTTACCAAGAGATACTATCATATAAACAGGAGTTTTACTGATAATAAAATTCCTTTTTAAAAAAATGGTGTTACTATGATTTAAATACTCAATGGCAGTTTAATCTGATACAGGCGTTTGTGTACCGGGCCATGAACCGCACAGCGTGTGAAGGCTTATAGTGTTATCTGGTTGTCCAGGTCAAAGTAGGAAGAGTGAGGTTTGAAAGTGGGACTAATTGATGAGATACTTAGACCAGTGGACCACATCATGTAGTTTAGGAAATTTAGGCACTACCAACCTATTTGTTTTTGTGTAGCACTGTTATGTAATCTAGAGCAATCATAATCTCTTACGCCTAATAACATTTACTAATAACATGTGTTGCCAAGACTTGAATTTATTTCAAATGGTCACTTTGCAGTTTTTGCCCCTAATAGTCGAGTAGAAATACGCTCTGTAATCCCTAATACCACATTCTTGGGTAGAAATTGTCATCGTTGAGACATAACATCCTGTTGCAGAGAAACAGTAGAACGCTGTTGTGACGATTTTAAACTTCCTCCCAAATCTGAGGCTTTTGTCAGTGGTTATTCACTATTTTGACTAAGCATGTAACTTTAATTGCCTACAGATGTCAGTAGTTATGCAAATAAAATCTGCGTTAAGCTGCAGAACTAAAGGGTTGTTTATAGATTTAATATGGATAAAATCGTAAACAATTATAATCCCTTTTTATCCTTAATCCAATCCATATCTGACATATTCTATCAGGCTTTTAGTCTGTTAAGTAAATAAGCTTCTCTGACACTCTTCTCCATTTACTGACTAGTTAATACACCTGTTCTATTCTGTTGTTGTGAAAAGATTTGACCCTTAGTTATCAAAAATTATTTCGAATACATCATTTTCAAGCAGACTGAGATAATTAGCAAACTTAAGTGATTCAGCTACTTCTTAATGTTCACAGAAAGGTTTACTGATGTGAATAAATGTTTTTTCAAGTTTCTTGGGTTAATTAGTACAGTTTATTCTCAGTCAACCCTAGTCTTCTGCAAATCATCGATACTTGTACCTGAAAATGGATGACAAAATTCTGTGGAACCCAGTCCAATATTATATCTATTTAATTTCTTTTCGCGTCCTCTCATACCTTGTTCACTACATTCTTTCACCGTTATTTTGTAAGATTTACTGCCACATTGCCGTAATTAAAATTGCGCACCGTAAATTTTCCATTGTTTTGTAATAATTCAGATTGAGTTTTGAAATATTTTGAGCATTTTTATTTGCTACTCGTATGATTTTGCTTTCAGGTGCTGATGCCCGTAGTCCAGGCCACTTTGTCTTTTGTTGTAGAATTACGAGAATTTCATAATGTCGACCTTTATCACCGTGGGTAAGTTAGTTGTTACCGATAATAACCAGCACAACAGCTATTACCAAATTCGCACTTACCTCAAGACAAATGGACAACCCTCAACAAATACAGGATCAACTTATGTAAAATCAACAGCATTCGTCGAACCCCCATTACTTTGGGAACGAGCCAGTACGAGATTCAAAGTGCCAGAGGCTGTGAAAGCAAGTTACATTGAACCAAGTGTTTCTGTTCCAACTTACATCCCTGAAAAAGCATGTAGCAAGACATTGTTAATTATGTATCGAGACGAAACGGCGAAGATATGTGATGTCTTCGAACAAAGAGTATTAATCCAGGTTGATCCAATAAATCTTGAAGATTCTTTGATGAGGAATGATCTTTTCCTATGTATTGAGCTGTGGTTTGTTGAAGATCCACTTGACAAGTGAGTCATGTTTTAATTATATATATTAATAATGTTCTCGTACTAACAAGCCATCCTAGAAGAGTAGATTTACAATCTCATTAAAGTCTAATTCTGGGTCTGCCTTGGTAATTATTCATTTTTCATGGCTGTTATTAATTCATCCGCTTACCAAGAACTGCAGTCTGAAAACGGAGATACTGCGCTTCATTGCTCTAAAAATTTCTAAAATATTTTAAATTTGGGCTTTTAAAATTTTTGACGAGCTAGATTTGGATTTTTCCACAAGTCGTCTAGATTCTTTACGTCAAGATAAACCATAAAATGCAAACCTCTAGGTGTTCTAGATGTCTAAAGCATTCGATGAAAATCTCCCATTCCTGAAAGTAGGCTAATATGTCTTCAGTCCAATTCCCTTTCTATATGACTATTTTCCTATCCAACTTAGAAATCTCATTCGTTCCTCTCCGATCGCGTTCTTGTGTCTCATAATATTTACAAATTTCCATACATTTTATTTTCCTGTATTGCTTTGAAATATGTCAAGACAATGAAGTTGTATGCCAAGTTCCATGTTAACCTAATAAGTTTGTTGTTTGCTGTTATACTTATCTACCTGTGAGCGAGGGAGGTTTAGATGGACTATTTTTTCATTATACTTTAATAAAGGTATACAAAATTACTACTTACTTCGATCATATTTTCTCTTAGTATGCTAGCGAAATACCTCATGTGGTTTCATAAAGTCACAGTATATTTGTCGGTTTTCTAACTGTTCAAATAAAACACACGTCGATTAAGTGTGGATGTAGTATTTCTTTGGAAAATTTCAAAATGCATCTCACAGACACTTTATTCGTTGCGTCTATTCTACGTGGTCAAGATGTGAACGGATTAAGTATATGTATAAAAAGTTTATGCGTTGTGAAATGGATTAATTTATTATAAATGAAAACCGGATATTTTGACAAATATTATGATTACTTCTGTGAAGCATCTGAGACATCAATGCTGGCCAAAGCGCTCTATTTATTTCGTTTTAAGCAGACTAGAAAGTTTCATAAATGTAGTTTGTACTATTTATTATCTATTGGTTTCGAGGTATTGCATGCACACTTAAACCAAATTGCATCTTGTATAAAGAATACACTTTTTCTAATCACTCCAGACTTTCTTCTCTGGATTTCATAAGTCTTTGTTGGTGGATATATCACCCTATGGATATTTCTGTAGTACTACCAAATACATTTTGATAACACTTATTAAAAAAGGGGGAATTGGCACCCAAAGTAATTGGTCACTTGTTTCATAGATAACATGACTAATCCTAATAATGATTATTCCATATTATTCATTTCGAGCTAAAACCGGTGTTTTATTTTACTGAAAAAAGAAAACCAAACTGGACACTTATTGTCTTCTTGCATCCACTTAGTTGAGCATTTGAGTGTTGCGTTCTGTACTAGTTAAGGATTACTCCTTTAATGTCTTGTTACGTCAGTTGACACTGATCAGTAAACGAATCTTGGCACCAACTTACTTCGCCTTTCAACATAAATTTTTATTTCTAAGAAGCAGTGAAGTAGAAAAAGCCTTGTTTCTCTTCATTTGAGATTCGTCAGGTTGACATACATATGTTGAGTTGAGTATTTTTTTCAGTACAACTATTGTTTTGCCCATTTAGCTTACGAACAAAAAAACTATATTTTAATCCTCTATGACCATAGCTCCCAAGTTAGTGTTTGTTACCTGAAAAGTGGTTATCGCATATAACGTCTTAGCATAGAAATGAGCCAGTAACGAGTTTGAATGCCGACTGACGACCAAAATACCTACTGGGCTTCAGAGATACTTGGTATGACTCATTGGTTTAGACCTTCGACCTTCAAGCAATAAGCCCAGAGTTCAAACTCCACTTACTACGACGTGGACGATTGGGTAGTATTGGAAGTCCTCGCACACTATGTAGTTCATTGTCTGTCAGTTGCACGAACCCGCTACTGATTTCTGATTTGCGTTACTGATGTCTACCTGGTCAGTGAGTTCCTAGTGGAGTACGATAACATGGTGTCATAAATTCAGTTACTAGTCAACTTTATTTACTATACTACTGTTGAGTTTGAATACAGTGTAACTCACCAACTGTATGGATACTTGTACTGTAGCCAATAAGCCACAACTATGGTGGGAGGGCTAGTGACACTACTTGTGTGCTCACATTGTGGTAGTTTGAGCAGGGTTCGAACTCATAGCCTGCTAGTCGAAAGCCTAAACCACTGAGTCATAACTATATACTCAGTAATGTAATCTAATTCTTGTCGTAAATCGCTTTTTATTGTTGTTGTCCCGCAGACTACCTGAAACTACTCTTATTCAGCACTTTAAAATACCTTACTTATCATACTCAGGTAAACATATCGAGAATATGAGCAAATAATATTGTCAGCTTTGTTCTTCTAGCCAGTGGGTGAATCAGTGTTAAATGCTTCTTTCCCATGTCTTTTATTTGCAGTAGGTATTTTTAGTTTGCTGGTGTAGTGCCAAAGAGAAAAGCAGTAGTGACAGAAATAAATCAAAAGTATTCTGTACGAATTCTAATATATATTTTCATGTTTGACACTGCATTTGTTTATATCCAGTTAAGATGTGCTCGAATGATGTTTGTTTACCACTGTGTAAATTCTACTACAGTACCATCATCCTCACAAAACCACTGGCGTATATTTTTTCGTGAAGTAATAGAATCTGTCTGTCGGCTCACGTAATTTACAACCTTAATCACACAAAAACTAGCTGTCCATTCGAATACGCTTAGAGTTATTGTCCGAAAATTTTTTTGAGGTGTTCAGTAACTACACACTGGATGTTACTTCACGACCATAAGACTTTATTGTAGTCTATACTTGTATGAAAGTTCCTGATAGTTTTGATTATACTTGATTTCAGTATTCTAGTAGTAGTTACTGAGAATACACGATAATAAAATACATAAAAAAATACATAAACTCCCGGGTTTGGGAGGTATATCTGTAAGTGAGTAGGTGAATTTCGTTGAACAGCTGAATTGAGTACTTTACCAGCATGAATATCTGAATCGCCCACATACATATTTGTGACTGTCTATGGTACCGTGCTGAGCTGTTCACTTCGGCTGCTACATTTTCACTGTGGTTGTTTATATTGTTTGCTCTGATGGTAGCTAGCAGTGAAATTCAGAAGGTATCTTCCAACTTATATGGCATATATCAGCTGCATGTACTTGCATGGCAATGACGGTTAGTGTTCCCGCTCAGACTCTAACCTAGCACCCATTACTTTGGACAGACAGACAAACAGACAAAATCAGCGTAAAACCTCGCACACAAGTACATCGGTTCAAGTTACCACGCTTCACAGTAGTACAAAAAACAAGAGGATAAAAAGGAGTCATATCAAAGATGGTAAAGTTGTATGAAATAATAAACAATTTGAAAATAAAGATTAGTGTGAATATTCAAGCTTTAGAAGATGTCAAGGAGTGGATACATCTACTTCATTGTGATCGATCTTCAGCCATGTCACCAACCACTGATTCCTATCATCTCTGGGACCCCAATCAGGCAGCTGGTCTACATCTCCCCACACGGCTCAGACTATCAGTCAGGGACCTTATAAACTGGTGCCACGTCTTCGTGTGGCCACTCTGAATCCTCTTGTAACCTAACCAAACTCCGCCTAGCATAGTACGCCGACGTAAACGGTGGCTTAGTATGCACAGGACATATCCAAGCCGTCTCAACCGACTAAGGTTCACAACCTCATCAATCGGCTTGCCTTTCTTGCTTAGTACTCTTCGCCTGATCTCAGCGTTGCTCACACGGTGATTCCACGATACACGAGGAATGCTGCGAAGACAAATACCTTTGATCAAAACCCTTAAAATCTCTTCATATCGAGCACTTTCAGTGGCCATGTCTCACGGGCGAAAATCAGGACAGAACGGACTGCAGTATAGTCTACTTGTCCTTTGATAGATAGTCGGATATCTTACTTTAAACATAATGTGTTATCCACTAGGCTACTGAGTCATTTGAACTACGTCTTGTGCACCATAAATATCGTTTGTTAATTATTGTTGCTTATAATTTCCCGATGTTTATCATATATCTTTTCGAAAATTGCATTCGACCCATTAGAATAATCAGCCAAAAGTTAAAAGCACGCATAAATAATATGTGTTTCTTGGCTTTGTAAAAGCTGCTTTCATCAAGTGAACGACTGTCTTTTCCTGAGTTCTCTGTTTCTATACTGATTATTTTTGCCAGTTTTGTTTGACCAAAAAACCTTTACTGTTTTCGTTTTTCAAAGTGGATTAAACTTTTACCCCTCCAAGCTAACGTAAATCGTATTCTTAACCTTCATTTCCCCACAGAATGCCTAAAATATCCTACATTTGGTTGAGGAATATTTCTTAATGTTACAAGTTATGTGTATTGGAAGGAGTAAATGTCATGTACTCTGGAGTTTTGAGTCAAAGGGAAATTCGACTTTAGTGAACCGTCTCTAATCTTGTGCAGTTACAATCATGCCATTTTTGGTAATATTACCACTATTATCATTCATTTTACATTTCTTTGACAATATTTTACGCTTATTTCACTGACTGACAAAATCAACGTAAAACCTCGCACACACGTGCACTGGCTCAAGTTGCCACACTTCACAATCAACTTAGTATCATCTCATTGGTGAATGTGGTTTTTTAAGGAAGAGAATCACGTCAAATGAGTGATTTTCTTTTTCTCAACCTCTTTAAGTTACATTAGGTAAGCATACTTATGTAATTTATAAAGTGCATACTGAGAAATGTGCATACATATAAGCAGTCAGTATGAAACGAAATTACATTTATTCGACACAACTCTGTATTAATGATGGATAGTAGCTAGCAGTGGAATCCAGGACACAAGTTTCGTTCTATTTAGGACTTGTCAGCTGGATGTACCTGCTTCCGAGTAAGTGATGTTGTTTCCACTGGGACT